TTTTTTTTATAACATATTTCCTTCTTACTGTATCTAATTGATAAGAAGCTACTAACATCAAAATCAAGTATCATATCAGGTATCATATTTAAGTGAAGATATTTTATATAATATTTTTATATTTTTAATTATAGGAATTATGTAAATAGATATAATATTTTCTTGGAGAATTATTGTAGCGTGAGATATAATTTATTATACACCGTGTTTGAAATTTCATTTGCTGGTTAATCAGGTCGCGTTTGCTTACTACACTGAAGGACCCTTCTGTTATTGCATTGCAATGTACGATGCTTTAGAAATGAATGCTAGGCAATATACGTTAAAGTTGAACTGCAGTAAGGTCGATGGTCGGCACGGTAGATAAGCGCAGTGTCGTATCTGAAATACAAATTAATTTTTCATTATTTCACTAGTGATGTTTTATTAATAGACTGCGAATATTTATGACAAATGTGAATATGAAAAGGTATACAAAGATATGAACAAATTTTGTAGAATATGAAGAGTAAAGTACGTATTATTACGTTTCAAAAATAAAATATTCTTTTACACAACTTGAAACTCTTCACCTTTAAAAATATGAATCTGTACAAAGATTCGCAATCTATTGATTAAAATTAATTGTCTTAGAAGAGCTCAAAATGTGATTGTTAATTCGGCCCTTTAATTTTTGTGTTGTACTATTTAAATTACTATCTAGCAATGAATATGAATATTTCTATGAATATTTAATTTTTAAAGATTATGAAATGTTACTTGCAAGTAACATTCCTGTCTTTCATTTAATATCTAATATTTATTGACTTTATTATAATAATTCTTAAAATAAAATGATTTCCCTTCGCGATACCTTTTAAAAATTAGATAAATTTTGATCTTGAAGTTGAATGCATAAATTATTTAAATGGGATTTACAGACTCTCGAAATAAAGAATCGAGTTCCCATTATTCGATATTGCCTCCCACAAATCGAATCGATCGTGACGCTACCTACGAAAGATATGTGTCATCGTGCGAAACAACCCCAAGACAAAGCAGCCACTATGAATGAAATCAATGCATTAGAAGAATGATTTCTCTATTGACAGAGGAATTGAATTCTCTACCGATTGAAACCACCAACAAATATATATGAAAACAACATGAGAACATATTCTCACGTATGGACCATACTACCATACAGACACAGGTGAGTACAAAACGAAGGATTAAATTTTATCGAATGCTATACAATTTGGATGGTGAATAATACCAGAAAGGAAATAAATTGATAGATTTCATGCAAATTTCCATGTACATCAATACGCGTAATATGTGATGGAAATTTTGCATTCGTATAAAAATTTCAGTGCCTGTG